AAGACTCTGTTGCTAAAAGCCTAGCTTGACCTCTAGCCTTCACAGGCATGGGCAGTTGCATGCACACACGCGCACAGGACACACATGGACGACGTGCTCTTGAATGAAGACCATGAAATCCAGGCTATTCTGACCTACTAGGTCTCTTTTAGTGTGGAAGAGGGGTGTGAGGAAGAAGACAGGAAAGTAAGAGAGAGGAAAGTAAGGAGGAGAAATAAAAATGGTGAAAAGAAAACAAGGAGGGGGAGGAAAGGGAGAGGGAGAAAGAGACGGGAGGAGAGGAGGAGGAGGGAGGAATAAGTGAAGGGAGGGAGGAAGACATGGAGGACAACATCAGTAAGTTATATATATATATGTTCTATTAAAATGCTAGAAAATGAGGTCATGGACGATATATTTGCAATAGATTTTTCTCTTGTTTTAAAGGACAACAGGGCATCAAAGAGCAGGCTAGGACGTTCCACGTGGTATTTGGGAATGATGAAGAGATTATCTAGGCCAACTTTAAAAACTGCTTCATTTTCCATAACAAGAAAACCCTTCTCCTGACTATCTGAGCAAAGGGGTCAAGATCATGATGGAAACACACAGAGTCAGCTGACCCAAACTAGCTGGAGCTCACTGACTCTGGACTGATGCTGGGGAACCTGCATGGGACTGAACTAGGCCCTCTGAATGTGGGTGACAGTTGTGTGGCTTGGGCAGTATGAGGGGCCCCTGGCAGTGGGACCAGAATCTATCCCAGTACAAGAACTGGTTTTTGGAGCCCATTTCCCATGGAGGGATACCCTGCTCAGCCTCGATACAGAGGGGAGGGGCTTGGTCCTGCCTCAACTTGATATGCCAGACTTTGTTGACTCCCCATGGGAGGCCTTACCCTTTCTGAGGAGTGAATGAGGGCTGGAGTGGGAGTAAGGTGGGGGGTGAGTGGGAGGAGGGGAGGGAGGGGGAACTGTGGTTGGTATGTAAAATGGAAAAAATCCTTTTAAATAAAAAAAGAAAGAAAGAAAGAAAACCCTCCTCCTGATCCAGGCACCCCCTTTCACAGCAGCTCCTAAAAGTGGTCTCCCTGCACTGCAATGAGTCTTGCTCATTTTGGCTTTGGATGAAGGTGTGTTCTGATGGACTCACCCTTGAAGAAGTGTTGACATTGCTTCAGATCCCTCTCCCTTGCCTTCATGCAGCTGGGTGTTGATTTGGAGGAATATCTGTAATCTTAAATCATTTCTAAATCTGCCCATCATCTCTGTGGCTGTTATCAAACCCATTCTGTCTTCCTTTCAAATCTGGTGGATACAGGCACCTTAAGAGGTGAGGGACCAGGGCTGGAGAGATGACTCAGAGGTTAAGAGCACTGACTGCTCTTCCAGAGGTCCCGAGTTCAATTCCCAGCACCCACATGGTGGCTCACAACCATCTGCAATGAGATCTGGCGCCCTCTTCTGTATACATAATAAATAAATAAATCTTTAAAAAATAAATAAATAAATGATTTAGATTATGAGAAATGTTTTTTTTTTTTAAAAAGAGGTGAGGGACCAAGGAGCACTCTGCAGGAGACTGAGAGGATGGCCCCTCCAAGCCACCCATGTCTCTCTGCAGGAGACTGAGAGGATGGCCCCTCCAAGCCACCCATGTCTCTCTGCAGGAGACTGAGAGGATGGCCCCTCCAAGCCACCCATGTCTCTCTGCAGGAGACTGAGAGGATGGCCCCTCCAAGCCACCCATGTCTCTCTGCAGGAGACTGAGAGGATGGCCCCTCCAAGCCACCCATGTCTCTCTGCAGGAGACTGAGAGGATGGCCCCTCCAAGCCACCCATGTCTCTCTGCAGGAGACTGAGAGGATGGCCCCTCCAAGCCACCCATGTCTCACTTCTACTCCCAGCGTGAAGCTGGCCATCAGGACGCACCGCGGGCCAGCTGCGCTGTCCTTATGCAGAAACTCTGCCCAGGCTAGCACCTGGGTAGACTCCAGCGCTCGACATTCACGTGGCTCAGGGACAGGAGAGCTGCCATCCAGCTACCCCAGGCTTTGCTTTCTTTCCCTCCCGGCAGTTTATTTCTGCAGACCCAGGGAACCCTGCCAAGCCTCATCCAGAGGGATAAGCACCATAAATCCCTAATTCCCAAAGTTATCTTATGGCAGGGGACAAGTTCTGGGCAGCCTTCCCGCTCAGCTAACATAACGGGGCTTCTTTCTTCCCGAAGTGTGCTCACTGTCCTGCACGCTTCCTTATTCAAGGTCAATGATCAGCTCTCCTGCTTAATATTAAAGCACGGAACCATTAACCTGGACAACTCCTAACCTGGGGCAGCTCGCTTTATTTCTGTTACATGAACTGGGAAATCAGCATGTATTTTAGTTAACCAGTAGAATCTACACATTGGAAATCATGGAGTGAACATACCCAAAGACAGGCGTCCCTGAAGACCACTCAGATCACACAAAGACTACATGTTAGCCTCATCCCTTCAGAAGCAGGGCATCCAGGGAGCACCTGTGCTAGAATTCTCTAGGCGTTTGACTTTTAACATCTTTGCTCTTTATTACAGGCTCTGGCAGAAGAATTGAAGATCCCAGGGTATCACCCTATGACTCATCAGCTAGGACTATAGAAACAAAGAATAGATATTTCCATAATTTCAATAAGATTCTATGACTTTTTTGTATCAGTTGTTCAAACAGAGTTAATTAGTCTCCGGCTGTGTATTATAAATTCAGTTTGGTTTTGCTGAGAGTCCCTGGTCTATAAGTAATTATTTAAAGAAGGATAAATCACAGAAACCCAAGCTGGTCTAAAAGAATCTTTCCTGTACTGGCCTTTCTATAGAGAGTCAGGTCAGCTGAGCAAGGAATGTTCAGCATGCCTTGTATTCCTTTCTTCTTAGTGCGCAGAGTTTATCTCCTAGACATGGAAGCCACGGGAAACTGTTCCTTTTGGTCCATGTCACTTGTCTTTCCACAGGATGTCATCTCTATGTGCTTTCAGAAATACTTCTCTGGCCTCTGAGTTTCTGCTCCCACATGTGAAGCATGCAGGTTCAAGCTGTAGGCATCTTTGGTTTGTATTAGTTCATCCTCGGTGGAGAAGGGGCTAGAGAGCAAAGCCAAACAGTTCCAGAATCCCATGGGGAGGCCCATGGGGCCAGCAGCTGCAGAGGGCAAGCAGCCACCGGAAGCTCTGCCCTTCCCCAGGGGAATCCTGGGGTGTGGTGAGCAGTCACTCTCCCAGATGCTCTGCGTTCTGCTCTAAGACCATAACTCTGTGATGGCTTGAAAGATGAGCTATTTGGATAAATAGCTTTCCTAGAACTCTGAGCAGATGAAAATGCTTTCAATGTGTGGGATGTTTTTCTTATCTGTAGTTAGGTCAAAACAAAAGAGACTTTATTACACTATTACATATAGCACTTACTTAAACATTATTGTCAGAAGACTCTGTTTTCAAATGTATACTCTTATATGTCGTTTTTCCTTGGGGAAACTGGAAGGAAAGAAAAAAGCAGGAAGTGAAAGAGGAAGAGAAAAATAATGCCTTAAAAAGATATAAAGGGGAAATGACACAATTATATTATAATCTCAAAAATAAAAGAAGTACTTATTAAAAAATAGATACAGAGAATTCTATATTGTTGCATGCCTGAGAACTTGGCAAGTTGTCTGGTGTGTTCCCTCCCCCTACTTCCTAATCTCTGAGGCCTTTGAAGTTCCAAGGAAGGATATGCTTGACTGAGATCAGCACAGACTTCTGTGTTCCCACATTGTGCTGGGGAGCTTTGTCACCTTGACACAAACTAGAGTCACCTGGGAAGAGGGACCCTCAACTGAGGAATTACCCCCATCAGACTGGCATGTGGGCCTGTCTGTGGGGGCATTTTCTTCACAAATGATTGACAAGGGAAGGCCCAGTCTACTGTGGGCAGCATTACCCTTGTGAGGTGGTCCTGAGCTATACAAGAAGGGTAGCTGAGCAATCCTTGGGGACCAAGCCAGTAAGCAGCATTCCTCCATTGTCTCTGCTTCAGTTCCTGCCTCCAGGTTCCTGCCTTGATTTCCCTCAGTGATGGACTACATGTAAGTTGTAAGCCAAATAAACTTCTCACTCCCCCAAGTTGCTTTTGGTCAATATTTCCTTCCTTCCTTCCTTCCTTCCTTCCTTCCTTCCTTCCTTCCTTCCTTCCTTCCTTCCTTCCTTCCTTCCTTCCTTTTCTTTCCTATTTTCTCTCTCTTTCTTTTTAACTTTTATGTGTACAGGTGTTTTTGACTATATGTATGTTTGTGTACCATGTAAGTGCAGTGCCTGCAGAGGCCAGAAGAGGGCACTAGATCCCTTGGAACTGGGTTCTAGATGGTTGTGAGCAGCCATGTGGGTGCTGGGAATGGAATCACAAGCCTCTGGAATTCCAGCCCCATAGAAACTTTTTACTAAGGTGCATTCTTCATGTTCCTCTTGAGTCATTGTGAGAAGAGAGAAGAGGTTTTCTTAATTAGAAAAGAATGTGTGTATGCATAAGCCAGTGTCTTCATAGACAGCCCTCCAACAATAAAGAGAATCAGATTCCACAGGCCACTTTGAGAAGACTCTTGGTTAACAGTCTGTTCTTGCACACACTGTGCCTTACAAGGTCTGTGCAATGGAAACTCTACTGTGATGTCACCTTTGCTAGATTTCTGGAAAGTAACACATACATAAAGCCTCAAGGCAGGCAAATTCTTCTGTGGAGCTGAGGAAAAATACAAGTAAAATGTCTGTAGATTATACTCAAAATAGTCTACTTTAGAAGACTATGCTTTCGTTTGCCAGCAGTAAATATTGGGAACTGTCATTTAATGTCTGCTGTTTTAGTTTTAAGGGTAATTTCAGAACCTCAAATGGTAGATTTTTTTTTAAGCCATGCATTCTCCAGAAAGAGAACCATTTTTTTTTTCCTTTAATCAAATCTTCACATGATCTGCAAACAGGATTCAAAGTGGTTGGTTTTTCTTTGCTCTGTTCCAGGTGGATCTTTTGGTGGAAATTACGAAGTTAGTAGACAGAGAGGAAGAAAGAACTATAAAAGAAGAAAAGGTAGGGGTCTGTTTAACATTCAAATTTAATAAAAGTCTGTGGGTGATTGGCAGCTGGCAGACCCCATGTTTCTAGGTGAGCCTCACCATGGTGGAGCCTGGTTCAGATCTACGCCATACTCCAGTCACAGGTAGACCCTGCCCACAGTCAGCATGGGACTTGTCTCTATCCAGGGATTAGAGGGACTATATATCCACAGAACTTCCAAAGGCTGTGCTTGCATTTCTGCAGTTTTTGCTTTTCCTCCTTCCTGGGGGACACTCAGCCAGGTCTCCATGCATCTTTAGCTCCCATGCTGGATGTAGTAAATACTGAGTGAAGTCGCAACCTGTGACCTCAGCACGTGATTACAGGTGATCTAAGGTAGAAACAGAACAACATTAGAACAGGGAGAAAGTCAATTATAGAAAACAGAAGCACCACATGGTAAAGAAGACATTTCTTTTTGTTTATAGACAATGCTTTGGTTACGGTACTCTAGCTCCTGGTGGTCAGCCATTGTCTAACCAAGGCAAAGGCACTGGAGGGGCTATCATTTAACACCAAATCAGGCTCAGTTCTACACTGCCTGGTTTTTCTCACACTGGGTTCAAACAGGTATAGAAATGGCACCTAACTTCCAAGTTGCCTAAAAGAAAAGAAATGCATAAATTGCTTTTGCAGATTTCCTGCCTGTAAGAAAAAGTCCAAAGCCTCAAACATCTCACAGAATCAACTGAGCTGAGGGTAAAGGGCTCTGGCTATGTCCAATAAAGACAAATTTCACTGAAATGGCTGGAGAGGTGAGGAGGAGTGTTAGCAAGCCTGATGACCAGAGTTCGAGTCCCAGAGCTCACACATCTCAGAGCTCACAGTGTGGTGGGAGAGAACCAGCTCCCACAAGTTCCTCTGACATGCATGCCATAGCATGTGTGCCCCCACATAATAAAGACATGTAAAAAAACAAGTACCCTTAAATAAGCCGAGGGTTGCCCATTGTGTTGAGATTTTGTGCATTTTTTCAAGAGCCATTCTGTAAAATAAGAAAAATGAAAAAAAAAAAAAGAAAAAAAAATGAAAAAAAAAAAATGCCGGGCGGTGGTGGCGCACGCCTTTAATCCCAGCACTCGGGAGGCAGAGCCAGGCGGATCTCTGTGAGTTCGAGGCCAGCCTGGGCTACCAAGTGAGTTCCAGGAAAGGCGCAAAGCTACACAGAGAAACCCTGTCTTGAAAAAAACCAAAAAAAAAAAAGAAAAATGATTTTTAATAAATATTCACTATTCAAAATAATATAAAACTAACTAGAATGTTATATTCATGATTCTATTACAACAATAATTAAATTTGAAGACATATCTATTAATAATACTCTAACACAAACAATATAAAATGCATGTTTAATTATATTTCTAACACATATACTTTTTAATATAAGCAATATGTGAGTTTTGTTTGCTTCCAGTACAACAATCATCCAGTGATTTTCCATAAAGCAATAGAAAAAATATGCTCTAAATATTTCAAGATGCAGTGCTTTTTTATAGATATTTTGGTTCTAAGTCCGACTCCCTTTGGTTATTAACTAAATTAAGTGTCCTAATTGCATATTCTTTCATATTTTATTTTTTTAATTTTTATTTATGTGTATATGTGTGTCTGGGAAGAGGGATGGCAGGTGTGTGTCTCTCTGTGTGTATGTTTGTGTGTGTGTGTGTGTGTGTGTGCATGTCTGTCTGTGTGTGTGCATGTCTGTGTGTGTGTGTGTGCGCGTGTGTGTGCATGTGTGCGTGTGTGTGTGTGTGTGTGTGTGTGTGTGTGTGTGTGTGTGTGTGTACCCATAGAGGGCCAGAAGAGAGCTTCAGATTCCTTGGAGCTGGAGTTCGAGAGGGTTGTGGGCAGCTGAACATGGGTGCTGGGGACCTAACCTGGGTCTTCTGGAAGAGCAGCAAGGACTCTTAACTGCATTTCTCCAGCCCCTCATTTCATTTTCTAATAGGCGAAGACAGGCAGTGTTTAAAGCTCACCATGGTTTCCTTGCTTCTGTCGACAGGTCCTGAAATGGAGCAGCTCTTCTCCAGTGAGAAGAAGTAACACAAATGTTCTCTTCTTAGCCGGCTTTCAGAACAGCAAGACCTTTAGCTTGTGGTTCACCTGAAAACATTTGTGTGAGGTTTTCCCTTCTCCAATCTGTTTTTAGATCTGACATTTTGATCTTAGGTTTTTAGGACACTTTAGACTTTATTATGCTTTTTTGAATAAGAATTTACGGTTTGCCATTCTTTATATATGGTTCTACATCCAACAATTTATCCGGACTTGGATAGAAAATATTTGAAAAACCTGGCATCTGTTCTGAACATGTACAGACCCCCCATTATTCCCTAAAAACACAGTGTACAGCAATCAGGAGTGCCTCACTCATGCTAGCCTCAAAGGCTTTACCACTGAGCTATGTGCCCAGACCCACCTGAAAGCACATGGGGAAATTTTTGTGGGCTTTACGGGAATGGAACATCATTCGAGGAAGGTACTTGACATCCACAGATTATAACATCAATGGGCTATCCTGGGACTGGCACCCAAAGATACTGACATCCACAAGATGTCCTGGTATGCCCTGAAGAACCCTGACATCTGTGGAGTGTCTGATATAGACTCCCAAGGATACTGACATCCATGAAGTGTCCCATATGAATCTACAAGTGACATTTGTACCCACAAGGTGTCCTAGTACCAACTGCCAAGCATACCAAGGGTCAGGGTAGTTCCTTCTCTTGTTGGTATTAAGAATCAAGGTCATAAATGGAAAGAGTATATTGAACAACTGTACTGTGACTCTCAGTCTCATGGATCATCAATGTTTTGAGTTGTTGGCTTTTTCTAGCAGCCCTGGACACTGGAAGAGTTCATCAACTCTGTTCCAGGGAGGAGAAGGAGGTGTGGAGAGATACAGAGTGCAGGCTGTAGAGAATCTTGTGATTAACTATAGTGTTTAGATGTCAGCTTGATGCTAATCTAAAAGATTAGATTCTGTATCACTCTAAACAACCTACAAGATGTACAGTAGTGATGATATGAACAATCAGAGTTGCCCTGACTGCAACATGATTAGCTGATAAGCCTGTGCCTTCAGACATCATAACTTCTTGACTTTGCAGGGGACTTTTGGAAGAACTGTCTGTTACGTTAAAGTATGTAGTATTAAAATCTAAAGAATGATGACATTTCAAGATGTACAAGCCATGTAGTGGCTAAAAAGACACAGAATTTAAATTGGTTATGGTCATAGTTACTACTTTGTGTCAACTTTATACCGACTTAAATCTATTGGGGAAGAGGGAGTCTCTGCTGAAGAATTGCTCCCACCAGATTGGCCCGATGGCTTGTCTGGAGGGCACTTCTGGATTGCTGATTGATACGGAAGGACCCAGCCCACTGTGGCTGGTCTTCCCTAGGTGGGCAGTTTTTAGCTGTATAATAAAGCAGCGGAGCAAGCCAGGGAGATCAAACTAATAATCAGTGTTCCTCCATGGTTTCTGTTTCGAGCTCCTGCCTTGAGTTCATGCCATGGCTGCCCTAGCTGGTGAACTGCAGCCTGCCAGCCAGATGAACTCCTTTCTCCCCAAGTGGTGTTTGGTCAGACGAAAAGAGCTATGAATCAGATACTCCCAGTCTTCATGGGGGAACAAACAAGGACAATATGACAGGAGAGGGCAGACTGAAATCCTGGTTCCTTTGTCTTGCTTGGTGGAGTATTCAAAGTCAAAGAATGCTATGGAATAGCCACTTGTAGTCCAGTTGAATTCTGATAGCACTGTACTAACACGCTGTACTGAGAAATAACTTTTAAAGGAGCAGCCAGCAAGGTTAGTGGAATCATCGAGGCAGTATAAAAGACTGAAATATTAGGCAAAACCTTCCAAAGCCATTATTTTGGACAGTCAATTTGAATGGCCAGGCCTCACAAAAAAAACGCAGAGATTTCCGGCAAAGAACCCACTATGGAAATAGCAACAACATTCAGCACACCCTGTTCACCAAGCTCGTGTGCTGCCAAACTACTAAGTGGCTGACAAATACCCTCCTAAGCCTGTGCCAATGCCCAGGCTGTTTCTGAAGATTGGCTGGAAAAAATGCAACACCAGGCACACTGCACAGACATTGTGCGAACGTGTCGTATTAAATGCTTCAGTTTCTTGATTTACCAGGAAGGGCACCAAAGAGAAGGTGAAGAGAGGAGCCCCCATGTTTATAGATTTCTAGTTAGACAGTGGGAAGACACAGGACATGTTCTTGGCGCACCGCTCTAGGCTTCCAGTGAGACGGTCCAGAGCTGCTCTGAGACTACCCAGGTGGACGGGTCCTCAGACCTGCAGTGGGCACAGGGGTAGTAGGGCGCACAAATACAGAACGATTTGCCTTAATCATTAATGTTTACTCAATGAAAACAGAGGATGGAACACTATGGTGACATTCAAGATGAAGACGGGCCAGCAGCTGCCCGGACTTTTAATATCAAGTTTATATTAGATTACTCAGTGGTTTTAAACAACTTATTACAGTCCCTCCCCATTCTCCTCTTTCTCCTCCCTCTCCCCTTCTTCCCCATCCCTGCCATATCTCCCCTCCTTCCCCTTCTTCCCCCGTTTTCTTTCTCTTCCTTCCCCTCCCCTTTCCTCTTAGCCCTCTCCTTTCCCATCTCCTCCACGTTTCCTCCCCCTCTCTCACCCCTCCCCTTCCTTTCTCTTCTGTTCCCTTGTTTTCTGAGAAAAGGTCTCAATTTGTAGCAGGCTGACCTCAGACTTCCCATCCTCCTTCCTCATCACCACCCCCAAAGTTGAGATTACAGGAAACGACAATTTCTAATTTATTTATTTATTGATGGATCCAGCTGAAAGCCAATCTTTGTTATGTCTATTTAAAACATCCCTTGGAATCCATGTATTTCCTATAAAGACCTGACACTCTGTGAAGCAGCTAATGGATCATCAGTTCACAACATTGCAATTTTAGAGTGAGACACAGGCTGAGTGCCACCTCTAGAACTCTCCTGATGGAATTTTAGATCAAGGGTGGAATTATTGCAAGAGTGTCAGTGCCCTATCAGGTCAGGAGGCCTCGGTCAAGCAGTGGTGCAGGAGCAGCTTCCTGGAAGCATAAGGTCCACTCATTCCCTCATTTCCTGCTTGTGACTGCGGGTCCTTCTGCCATACAGCAGACCTGCAGGACCTTCTGCCCTGCTGCAGTCCCGTGGGTCCGTCTGCCATGCTGCAGGCCCCGAGGGTCTGTCTGCCATGCTGCAGTGCAGATGAAGGCCTACCTCACATACCAGTTCTGTGTTGATGGACTTGTCAGCCTTCAGAATCATGAGTCTGATGAAGTTCTCTTATTTATAAGTTATTCAATCTGCTGTATTCTGAAATAGTCACAGAAAACATGAAGTTAAGGCATGGAATGAAAAAATGGACAGGTAGTGTGATGGCTAGTCTTGGTTGTCAACTTGGCTACACGTGGCTTCGACTAAAACCTGAGTAGTGGGCACATCTCTGAGGGGTTTTCTTGATTGGATCATTCTTGAGCTGGGAAGATCCTCCCTAAATTTGAACCACACCTTCTGCTGGTAGCCCATACAAAAGGCCACAGAAGAAGGAAATTTTGCTCTTTTGTCTGCTTGTACTCACTCCCGATGGCAAGTTCATCTATCCCATTCCTGAGGCATTCCTTCCCTGGTGTTAGAACCTACTTCTTTGGATTCTAGCATACACTGAGTACCAGCATCTCTCTAGGAGTTCCCTGGGATTCCACTACCAAATTGGGACTGCTGAGACTCCTAGCCTTGTGGACTCAACCAATATCAGACTCTTGGCCTTTTTGTTGGGCCCAGTCAGAGCATAGCCTGTACCCCACTTTAATAACCACACACACTCACACACTCACACACACACACACACACACACACACACACACACACACACACACACAAACACACACAAACACACACACGTATATTCATTCTATCTGTTCTGTTCCATTACAGAACTCTAATTTGGGCAGACAGTTATTAAAGATCTTGACTTCAGTTCCTTTGGATGTAGACCCAGAAACAGGGTCTACATTGTATGCTAAATTATATGGTAGATCTGGTTTTATTGTTTCATTTTAGAAATGTAACACACTGATTTCCATGGGGAGATGTACTTACTTACAACATTCAGGGAAATGTATAGCACTGTGTTTACTTTTTCCAAGGAATGAGTTACAATGAGTTACCACATTCCCCCTCCCTTAGTTCTGAGATTTGTTAAATAGATTGAATAAATACATATAAAACTTTGACTTGGTGACTTGGGAAACTTTATTTTCATTGTGTTGCCAAATTTGTTATGATTTTCATTAAAAATGTGATTATCATTCTCCTAAAACACAGAACCAATAGGATATAGATGGATGGATGTGTGGGTTGTCTGGATAGCTGGATGGACAGATTAATGTGGGGGGGGGGTAGGTAGATGAATAGACAGGTTAGTAGATGGATGGATGGATGGATGGATGGATGGATGGTGTCTTAGTCACCATTCTATTGCTGTGAAGTGAATTACCAAGACAACTATTACAGGAGAAAGCATTTAATTAGGGGTTTGCTTACATTTTTAGTGATCTAGTCCATTATCATCAGGCAGGGTGGGGATCATGGCAGAATGCAAGCAGGTATTGGAGCAGTATCTGAGGAATACATGCTGATCCACAGGCAGAGAGAGAGAGAGAGAGAGAGAGAGAGAGAGAGAGACAGACAGACAGACAGACAGACAGACAGAGACAGACAGACAGACAGACAGACTCTGGACTTGGCATGGGCTTTTGAAATCTCAAAGCCTACCCACAATGACACACTTCCTCCAACAAGGCTACTCCTCCTAATCTTTTCAATCCTTACAAATAATGCCACTCCTGGTGACTAAGCATTCAATTATATGTATCTAATTATTTTTTATTATTTAAACCACCACAGGTGAGTAGATGGATGAACAGACAGACAGGTAGAAATGTGGACACATTTATTATGGAAAGTGTTCATGTGACTACGGTGACCAAAGTGTTTTGTAATACACCATCACTAATTGAAAAGGCAGAGAAGCTCTGACAGATATGGGTCACAGAGTCTGAAACCCAAAGGATCCAGCACTGGACAGTAGGGATGAAAAGAAAAGAAAGCCTTTCTCTGCCTTTTCTTCTGTCGGGGTCCTCAACAGTTTGGATATTGTGCAGACAAGAGATTTTTTTTTTTTTTTTACTAAGTCTACTGATTTGAAAGCTATTTGTTTTGACAAATCACTCTCTCAGATCATCCTCAAATCACATTTGACTAGCAATCAAGCTGTCCCACAGAATTAAGCACTGTGGTCTGTTACCACCATGGCATTAAGTGAGGGAAGGATGAGACCATAATATGGAGCCATGGACAGCTCCACTGCTGCTGAGCAGGCTTCCCTGTCCATTCTGTGGCTCACTCTGAAGTCACAACTAAAACACTGACAGTTTCATCACAGGGAGAGACATTTTTTCCTGGTTACTACTTTGTCATTTCCATGACATCTGTCTTGTCTTCATTCCTGGCCTGTCATTTAGTGTCGCTAGCACCCACAGGTGACTACTTATCTTAACCCTGTATCAACAGTACATACCCTTTGCCCCCCATATCCATATGTGTTTGTTTGCTTGCTTGCTTGCTTTGACACATGGAAGGAGCTGTGTTGTCAGTGACTAGTATTTAAGTTGTCAAATAAACTAAGAAAAATAAAATAAAGAGGATTGTTTCAAAATGTTAACCAAAACTTTAACATGAGATATAGATTGGCCAGTGAGGTGACTTGAGGCCACATGTTGCATGCCACCCACTGCATGCCACCTACTGCATGCCACCCACTGCATGCTACCCACTACATGCTGCCCACTGCATGCCACCCACTGCATGCCACCCACTGCATGCTACTTACTAAATGCCACCCACTGCATGCTACCCACTGCATGCTACCCACTACATGCTGCCCACTGCATGCCATCCACTGCATGCTACCCACTGCATGCTACTTATTAAATGCCACCTGCTGCATGCCATCCACTGCATGCTACCCACTGCATGCTACCTACTGCATGCCATCCACTGCATGCTACCCACTGCTTGCTACCTACTGCATGCCACTCAGTGCATGCCACCTGCTGGATGTCAAGCTCAGTTATTCCACCTGCTGCATGTCACATGCCTTGAGCTTTCACTCTGCACAGTGATGACATCATAGCAAATGACTTCTGAGGACAAATTATTCTAAAAAGCTTTTAATGATTCCAATCAAATCTGTGCTTTTAGGGAGTGCTCCATGCTATTGTCAAATTACATTTATTCTAAGAGACGAATTCACAAACCACACTATTTCTCTCCCGTGAAAATAGAAAGTGGCCTTCTCCATTTACTTCTTTTTTAATAGTTTTGCTGCTTATGACCTGCATGCTTCTAAACATCATCAATAATTGCTGAGAGATTAAGATATGATACCACAGTCAGCATCAAAATTTCACATCAAGAAATCTCCAACCACCTCCTGTTCATTGAGATAAATGGGCATGTAGAGATGTTGGTGTCAGATGCTTGAGATTTTAAAGATGATAGCAGTCTCAGGAGAATTCATGGTTTGTTATAATGTTAAACTAATGATAATATAGGAAGAAGCAGGTACAAGCTATTATACAGTGATCAACAAAAATCATGAGTAATTTCATCCAAATCATTCCCTTTTCATTATAGTTAAGAAAAAGAATTTAAGGATGTACTAGATGCTTAATTAACTCCTCAGCTTCTCAGGTGCTTTGGGGTGACCAGAGCCCACTAGGTCTGGGCAACAACAGTCTTGTCATGTGACTGGACAGGGCTCTCTACTTTTTGAAATCTCTGTAATTTTTCATTAAGCAGAGATGGTAACCCTGACCTGCACAAGTTGCTTGGATCAGTTTTGTTCAGTGCCCATTGCTGAGGTACTGAGTTCTATCCCATAGTGACTTCCTCTCTGATTCAGCTTCTCACTCTGTGTCAAGAACAATGACAGTGTCATTCCTTTGGAGTCCCTTTCCATCATGTTATCCTTAGGACTTCCTCATAGCATAAAGAATTGAGCTGATCCATGTGCCTGTCCGTTTTATAAAATGAGAACTCTATGTAGCAGGTTACATCCTAGAACTCCCCCTCAGCCCCCGCTGAGTCTATCTCCTGTGGGTGGGTACCACAGCACCCATTCTATGCAGTGCTAAGGGATCAAACCCAAAGCCTCACGTAATTAGGGCAAGCGCTCTACCAGTGGGGTTGCTTCCTTTGACTTCCTGTCTGATGATCCCATCTTCCTCCATCTCTATTATAGGAAGCTAGGTGGCAAAATCTTGGTCCAGCCAGATGATTTAGGAAGACCTCCTCATTTCAAGTTCCCCACCCTAGCACAGTGGCCAAGTACTCATCATCACAGTTGGCAAAGATTAGGGTCTGGCTAACTTGGCATATCATCATTTAATCTGTAGCATAAAGTGACATATTAGGATTAGTTCTGTGACAATCACAGAGCAAGAAAGGAGTTCTGTTTCACTTTATGTTGTTTTGGTGTGCACTAGGCAGACCCCTCTGTAACAATGCGTGTGTGTGTGTGTGTGTGTGTGTGTGTGTGTGTGTGTGTGTGTGTGTGTGTGTGTGTGTGTGTATGTGTGTTTCTGGGCATGGAATCCAAGGTGTTGTGCATATTACCCAAGTGCTGTCACATTGTGTCATGTCTCCAGCTCCTAACTGTATTTTTGCTGGTGTGGAGTGGAAGAAGCAGGAAATGCAACTGTGATGGGAAAGTGGTTCACCAACAAAGTTCCTCTCTGCATTGCTGCTCCTTTCTTGATCCTGCCATCAACAATATCTGTGATATGGGACATGGCTATGTGGGGATATATTGTGTCCCCCAATATATTGTGCACCCTAATAAAACTTATCTGGAGATCAGAGGAAAAAGCCAGCCATTATATATAAACATAGAAGTCAAGCAGTGGTAGCACACACCTTTAATCCTAACATTCGGGAGGCAGAGATTCATCCAGATCTCTGTGAGTTCAAGGCCACACTGGGAACAGAACCAGGCGTGGTGGTACATGCCTTTAATCCCAGCACTAACCATGGAGGTCTGGAGGTCTGTACAGACAGACAGGAAGTGATGTAGCTTTCTGTCTGTCTGTACAGAGAGAGAAAGAGGAAGTGAGATGGCAGGGACAGAAAAGATATAGGTGTGAGTATACAGGAAGTAGCCTTCTCTTGGACTGAGGATTTCCTAGGGTAAGAACTTGTGGCTGTGGCTAGTTCTGTTCCTCTGATTCTTCAGCTTTCACCTCAATATCTGGTTCTGGGTTTTTTATTAATAAGACCATTTAGCAATTCATTTTACATGGCTACTCTAGAAATGGGTTCTATTCTCTGGGAAGGGTGAAAAGGGATTCCCTTCCCTTAGTTCCAGGAACACTTAACCATTTTCTCCTTTCCGGTTTCTGCAGAAAGATTGAAGCTTATTGTAGGACACAAAGAATAAATTTTGATGATGGATATGTCTAGAAGTAGGAGGGGGTTGCTCTGATCATCCTAAAAATGTGCCAGTATTTTTGATCTTTGAAAAATCTAAGGCATTGGCTCAGGAGGCAATATTTTTAACCCTGGTGGCCCAAACCACAAATTCCGACTACTTAATTACATTCTGCCTGGAGTGTCCTCCCAAGTGTTCCAAAACCCTGGTGGTTTTCATTTCCGACCCTAAGCTGCTCAGGAGTGCTGCTATTGTTATTATTTAACATTCCTGAGAACAGACAGATGCCCTATTTGAAACAGGAATTTGTATTTCCTGTTGGATGAGCTAATGATCTAAAATCTGGATGTCATATTTCATCTCTAAAGTTAAACAAAAGAAAAGCATTAAAGGAAACATAAAAAAGGAAACAGTGAAAGAAAATACAAGACAAGGCATCCATTCTGGTTAAAACACATGCCAGCTCATGTGGGAAGCAGTCCACTTGTGTGACTTTTGTCTGACTGATGCGCAAATCTGAGCAAAACCAATAAAACACTGTGTTGGTGTTGCAAGTAGATGGAGTTATTGTTTTCCTAATAATATGACTAGGACTTGTTTGAAGGAGGATAATGGGATGGGCAATTTCCTGATGGCAAGGACATCCCCATTTAAAGGAACGTTGTTATACATTACAGGGCTCTGTTCGTTATGTCTTT